TTTACATTTCTGAAATATATACATCATAATTTATCTTTGAAATAACCCAGAAATTGACAAATATCTCTTAATAATCTTTGCCATTTTTGTAGCATGGATTGCCTGGCCAAAAACATTCTATTATTAAGAACATTTCCTCTCAAAAAGGAAATCAGATATAGGTGTATCTTTTATTTGTGGTATGAAAAATAAAATAATCCTTTTCATCTGGCATTTCTCAGTATTCAGTCATATAATCAAACAACCTGATAAAACTGCTTATTTCTACAGTCACACAGCAAACACAGCCTGAATCCTGACTAAAGTAACACAGAAAACTGCAGATGCTGCAAATCAAAAACAAAAACAGGAATTGCTGGAGAAACTCAGCAGGACTGGCAGCAACTGTGGAGAGCATGCAGAGTTAACATTTCAAGTCCAGTGACCATTCTTCAGAATTACTGTGACAGTAAAGAGAGATTTTTCTCCACTTATCTCTGAAGTCAGTGTGTGCATCAACTCTGGACTTCTACCTCCCAAACTGATACAAAGTAGAACTAACAACACAGTTATTACTTGGCACAGGCAGAGTTTGCGTATTGTGTGTGTTAGTAATGCTGAGGGGTGCACTGGATTTTAATAGTGCATTCGCTCAATTATAAGATGATGACATTCTAGTTCAAAATGCTTCATATGTTTTGGGGTCAAGTTAGTTACCTGGTGCTGGTGCTGCTGCTGCTGAGATACAACTCCAGCAACATGTTGCAACAGATTCATTTCAAGATATACAAGGATACTGAGTGAAGAACTAATGCAGTGAATGGTACAGATGCTTAAGTAAAGCTACTGTCTACTTTTTTTATTGCAACCTGCTTTAAAATGATTTCAAACTGCCTACAGACATGTCTCTGTTTGAAGTCTTCTACTGAACTTGGTTATTTAAGTACAATCAGGAAGCTACTTTTCACACAAAACATAGTAGACATTTGGATTCTCTACAATAAAAGACTATGTATTCTTACGTAAGGATATCAATGAACATGGATCAAAGTGGGCAAATATTATGGTTTATTTTGATTCATTCGGGGATGTATTGCCCACTCTAACTGTCCTTGAAAAGTGTCCTTGATGATGAAGTTCTCAAACTGCTGTCTGGGTATAGATTTGCCAAGATCTAACTAAATAGCAGAATAGGTTTGGGGAACTGAATGATTTGTACCACTTCCTGTGCTCATAAAAAGGCAAATGATTTACATTCCTTTACATATTCCGTTTTTCATCCTCCAGATATAATTGGATAGACATAAGTGCTAGGCAGATCTTGTTCAACTACAACTGCCATGGGCAGTGACAGTAAAATAATAGTACCATGGAAAGGAAGAGAGAGATCAGTGGTTGAAAATACAATCAACTTCCTAGAATTACCTGTCAAATTGCTTGACATGGATTACACAAGAGCTCACTATCAAATATGTTTAATTAGGTCACCGAAAAAAAACGCAACGTTGTTCAGTTACTGAGACCTCAGCACGAAATCTATAGTTTATTAACTTATATTGGTCCCTTAATAAAAACAGAACATGCTGGAGAAACTCAGCAGATCTGGTAGTATACGTGGAGAGAGAAATACTCTTCTGCTGTCATATTGGACTCAAATGTTAACTCCGTTGTGGGATGTGGCCATTACGACAAGGTTAGCAATTATTGTCCATGCCTAATTGCCCCTGAGAAAGGGTAACAAGTCACTTTCTTGAAATACTGCAATTTATTGTCAAAGTTTTAAAATAATTGGTTTGCAAGGGAATTTCAAGGACGGTTAAGAGTCAACCATATTACTGTTGTTGTGGAATCTCATGTAGGCCAAATGAAATAAAGAAGGCAGGTTTACTTCCCAAAACAACAATAGTTCGCCAGTTAACTTTCTACATCTAATTGGTTCATGGTCACATGACTAATACTATCATCTTATTTCAGATTTGTTTTTAATTAACCAAATTTAAATGCCCTCAACTACCGTGATGAAAACTGAACTCATGCTTTTGAATTATTACTCTCTATTACTGGCAGAGTAGTCAAGGCCTAATGGTAATGCTACCATACCTAATACTTGCAGATTTGGACTTTTTCAAAGAATATATGCAGTCTAATGATTTCCAGGCCAACATTTATCCTTCAACTAAATACCATTTAAGAGGCCATATATATTATTGTCGTCTTCCGGACATTGCCTCCCACTAATTAGCTGCTTGCTTGCTTCCAAAATGACTGAGTACTTTTCAAAAGGACACGTGAAATACTATGTGAACGCAATTTCTTTTTGGTTCTATTTTTGGGCACACCAAATCAGTAGAAATTTTGAACAATGACGAATAAAGTGTTATCCTGGAAAAGAGGATGGCCCAAGACAGAAGATTTATTAATTTCCTCGCATAAAATTACATTACTAATACATTGTTTATTCATAGAAACAACTTACCAAGGTTATACCACATGTCCCTGATCTCAAATCCAATTTGTCTTCTCATGTCACCATATCTGGGGGAAAAAAAAACAAATTCACTTCATCATATTTAACATTTTATTAATCTCAATACAAGCTCAATTCTTTCAAGAAATAAAATGTGGCAGTACAAATTCATATAACAAGATCCAACGTGGGAAATTGTTGTTCACATTCATCAGATCAGACAGCATCTGCTCAGAGAACAATTAAAAATAAGAACAATTTAAAGGAGTGGGAGAAGAAAAACAAAAACACAAAATGAGTGTAACAAACCTTCATTTCATTTGCTTTTATATGTTGTACATTTTGCAGTTCTGAAAACGTGATAAAGCAGCCATATACGAAATGTTAACTTCTCTCCTCTCTAACAGATACTGATTGACTTGCCGAGTGTTTTTAGCAGCTTGCCTTTCGCTAAAGCTTCGTCAATAATTTAGGAAGATGTCTTATTTTGAATTTTATAACTTACTATACTGTTTAAATAATTTTGGGCTAACAGATAAAAGTAGTTGGAATTTGGGGAAACAGAGTGGGGTGTTGGGCATTGGGCTAGACATACCCCTTTAAAACTTGAATTCCAATCTACAGCAGACTGATATGAAAAAATTATAAAGTCTGAGTAAAATTCATTTATGGAATTTCCGTGCAGTTCCCATTGGAAATCGTGGGTGGGAAACAAATTAAAATGTCACACTGATGCACTAGCAGGCAGTTTCTTAAGGTGTAGGCTGCAGGAATACAGTAGAATGAGTTTCATTTTATAATCATATCTGATGTTCAATAATGTGTATATGAAGTTAGAAATGTCCCACTGCTCAGTTCTAATATCCATCACTATGATAAGCACTAAATAAGACAGTAAAAAAAGCCAGGAATAGATTTTTAAAAGGTAACCCTTTACTTGAATTAAATGATTATAAATAATATTATAAATAATAAGTCTGCAAATAGATTTTGAAGAGATGTTTCACATTTCATTCTGAATTTTAACTAACCATCAGTTAATATCAGCCTCTTTTTTAAAATACATGATCATTTTGATCCTTGATGTATTTGCATGATTTTTAAGTATCTAAATACTCTTGCATAAGGTATTTACTTTTTCAGAATACCATAGTCAGGAAAATATAAAACGTTCAATGACTAAAATAATTAAAGCATTTCTAAGTGATATGCAAATGTTGATTCAGCTTTCATCTCAGTTCTAACTTAGAGGTGATTTATAGTTTCACAATTAATAAAACAATTACAAAAAAATTGTGTTGTCAATATAAAAGTTGTTCAGTGAAGCAATCTCCAAGGAGCTCAAAGCCTTACCAATAAAACCATAGTTTCCAGTGACTTGATTTCTCGCTCATAATTCTTTCACATTCCAGGTTAGTTTCTCATTTGTCCAAGAGCAGTACACCATTTTGCTCACATTAATGTTATGCATGCAAGGCAAAGCACATGGAATGTTGCAAGCTCACCAGAGAAAATAATCTTGTATTGTAAATTGCTTTGTAATCTTTACCCTTATAAGAAATAGACAGAGCTTAGAACATAGAACAGTACAGCACAGTACAGGCCCTTCAGCCCATGATATTGTGCCGACCTATTACGCTACTAAGATCAAACTATCCTGCATACCCTACATTTTACTGTCCTCCATTTGCCTATCCAAGAATTGCTTAAAAGTCTCTAAAGTATCTGACTCCACTACCACTGCCAGCAGTGCATTCCACATGCCCATCACTCTCTGTGTAAAGAACCTACCTCTGACATCTCCCCTGTACCTTCCTCCAATCACCTTAAAATTATGCCCCCTCGTAATAGTCATTTCTGCCCTGGGAAAAAGTCTCTGACTATCCACTCTATCTATGCCTATCATCTTGTACACTCCTATCAAGTCACCTCTCATCCTTCTTCGCTCCGATGAAAAAAGCCTTAGCTCTCTCAACCTTTCCTCATAAGACCTGCACTCCAGTCCAGGCAGCATCCTGGTAAATCTCCTCTGCACCCTCTCTAAAGCTTCCACATCTTTCCGAAAATGAGGTGACCAGAATTGAACACAATATTCCAAGTGTGGTCTAACCAGTTTTATAGAACTGCAGCATAACCTCATGGCTCTTAAACTCAATTCCCCTGCCAATGAAAGCCAACACACCATACGCCTTCTTTACAATCCTATCAACTTGGGGAGCAACTTTGAGGGATCTGTGGACATGGACCCCAAGATCCTCCACACTGCCGAGAATCCTGCCATTAACCATGTATTCTGCATTCAAATTCAACCTTTCAAAATGAATCACTTCACATTTTTCTGGGTTGAATTCCATCTGCCACTTCTTTGCCCAGTTCTTGCCCTGTTCTTTATTATCAATACTTCTGCTGCCAATTAGAGGCAAGAAAGTAGTGTTCAATGCACGATTTTGAATTCCAACACAAATCTGTCATTTACTCGACAGAAATCCAAACTTGTATCACTTTTACTCAACTTTGTTAAAATGTTGAATCGATAGATGCAAATATAACCGGGATAGTACATATTCTGCAAAGTGTTAGATTCATGTTCCTGGTTGCCATCTGCTCAGGGATTATACAGGAGCAGCATGTTGTGCCCGACTAGGCTCAGAACCGTTCCTTGTTTCTGTCAGGGGCCACCTATTGCTCAGGTTTATCTTCTAGCTTTGCACTGCACCTGAAAATTTGGTAGTGAGTTTGAGCTGGAAATATCTCATCACATCTCTTTTTCATATCAATGGATTGTTCCTCCTGCGTGCATCTCCAGTTCAACCCTCAAATTAGCCCAGAAATCTCAAGGAAAAGTAAAAGTGGGAAACAACTGAATCAGGTCTTTGTCCCTTCTTCTCATCTTCACATGCACGAAATGCGCGAGCTTTAGGTACAAGCCTTGGAGAAATAATCTCATTTCTACTGTAACTTGATGTATAAAGCCACACGAACTCCACATTCTCAAGTACTGCAATTAACGTTCAGATATAGCAAGAAAAGAAAGCTGTGAAAACATCAAGGTTAATCTGAATAAAGGTGACATAAGATATGCTGATGAATAGCTGTTCACTGGCAAGGAGTCACAGGTCATGAAGAAAGGTAAATCATTACTATGAAACTACATTATATGTAATTTGTAACCACACCAAAAACAATATTAAGCCCCTTGGAATTGGACACAAGGGTAAAGAAACATCAATCACTAGCATAAATTACTAGCGCAATTAATATATATAAATAGCAACTTGCAGTCATAACACAAAATCATCATGTTGCAATGATACAGCTTACATTAAAAAGTTTTCATGGTGTCTCCACTGTTAGTTTCTAGACAAAACCTTTAAGAAAATGCTTGCATGAAGATAAGGCAAGAAAGCAAAGATAGCACCTCTTGTGATTGAAGCACAGCAATGAATGCTCAATTCTTAAAAGCAACTCAATGATGGTATATATCTGCGTCAGTCATCTTTGAGATACATTTATGCATTGACCTTTGCATGTGTCAAGATGCCATAATTCAAAAGTGAAACGATTTATAAATATAGAAACAGAATACATTGTTTCCTGGAATCTAATAACAATATATTAGATAGCAGATATTTATATTTACCAAGAACTGATGTTCATTTATTCAACATTTCTGAGCTGTCTCCAGTCATATGTTTTTTTTTCCAGGAATAGGTATTTATTCTACACTTACTCTCTCCTGAAAGCGCTGGCCCCAAGAGATAGTTCCAGAATTTCTAATAGTTTTTCTGGTACCTCATTGCACCTGAGGTATTTCAAAGTGGTACTTACAGAACTAGTGAATATATTGAATCTGTTCGGTTTTCTCTCTATGCATTGGAAGGTAGCAAATGTAACATTGCTATTGCAAGAGTAGAAGAGAAAAATGGGAGAAATATACGTCAGTGGCCTATCATCATTAGTGCAGAAGGAGCTATAACCTATTTTTAAGAACAGATGACACGTCGTCATCCTTCCATCGGCATAAGATGCAGAAAACAAAATTTTTTGGGGATATGGAAACTTTATATGTTGTATGTCTGCAAAGCAGGCTCTGCCACAAGTTATACTTGTGAAGTGATTATCAAGTGTCTTTGTGGGTTGCTGTGCCAAGTCACTGTCGCTACTGATTGTCATGCTGGAATACACCATTTTCCTGACATCAAGTGTCTCCCAATTGTGAAAATTGACTTTTAGGATCTTCACGTCAAGCTTTAAAGCATCCTTGAACAGGTGAATCATACATGCTATTCATTGTATGGCCTAGCTATCACTTCATACAGAAGTTCTCGAGGTATGTAAGCTAAATTGCTGAATGGGTTGATGACGAGTTAATGGTGAGAAAACAAACCACGAACAGGTAAATATCAGGTTGGCAGACTGTTACAAGGATAAGTGCTTGGGCCTTAACTATTTATAATCTATATCAATGACTTGAATTAGAGAACTGCTTGCAAAGATTGCTGAAGATACAAAGCTAAATAGGAATGGAAGCTTTGAGGAAGACACAAAGAGACTACAAAGGCAAACAAATGGATTAATTGAGCGGGCAAGAACATGCTAAATGGAATTTAATGTGGACAAAAGAAGTTATCCACCTTGGAAGCAAAAGCAGAAATACATTCTTTGCATCTTCCTTGAAGTTTCCATTCTCATCTAACTATGAATATTTAGTAGTGAAAGATAGGAAAAGCTGGTATTCATAAGGATGAGCCATAGAAAATTAATATGTAGTCACAGCAAGCAATTAGGAAAACAAATGGCGTATGAGCTTTTATTACAAGGGATTAGTCCCTCTCCTCTAGGTACTAAAAACAGGCAAGTGCATGTGATGGTCTCCTCTTTCTGGATAATGCATTTTTCCAGGTGATAGTTGTCACAAAGTGTTTGGAAGAAGAGACCTCTCTGAAGTTATCCAACCTGTACTAGGAAATTCCAGGTGGTTGCTGAGAGGTCACTGAGGACCGATAGCACAAAGACTTTTCTCCTTGCGACAGATCTACCTGAAAGCTTCCTAATCTTAGAGTTATTT